TTGTGCAGGCTGCTGACTTTGCTTAATGCAAGGGTAAATCCCTACCTAGTTCAGCCATTTTATCCAGCCATGCAGAGTGAGGTCCCACCATTTGGGCTTGCTCCAAGCCATGAGGGATCACCATTGAGGACCAGGACCATGAAAGTCCCTTTTCCCCACAGCATGATCCCTATTGTCCCATAGCATGACCCTCTTGCCCTGTAGCATGTCTACCTTGCCCTATAGAATCACCCTCTTGCTCCATAGCATGACGCTCTTGATCCACAGCATGACTCCTGCTCAATAGCACAACCCCATTGTGCTATAGCATGATGTCCTTGACCTATAGCATAGCCCCCTTGCTCCATAGCATTACATTCTTGCCTCCTAGCATGATCTTGCTCCACGGCATGACCCTCCTTCATCACAGCATGACCTCCTTGCCCTATAGCACATCTGCCTTGCATCATAACGCATAACTTCCTTCATCACAGCATGATCTCCTTGCCCCATACGATGGTCATCTTGTCCTCATTGCTTGGTGTAGATCCAGATTGACCTCCCAGTGCACCCTGAAAAAGTCCTACATCACTGGTCTGGCTGTGTGAAAGCTACTATCTTAGGAAAGGTGACCCCTAACATCTCAGAAGAAGTTCTGAGGATTAATCCAGTAGAGGGTCAGCATTCTCCCCCATCCCCTTTTGGACGACAGAGCACAGACCCTTCAGAAACACTCATGTCCTACAGAAAATAGGGCACAAAGGATCAAAGGAAGTCACCTCTCCGCCCCTGTCCTGCTGCCAGACCAGGTCCACCCTGGGCCAGGTCTGACTTGCTCCCACATAGGAGATGCTTGTTCCCATGCATGAGAAGGTGGTAGAGCATAGAATGGTGGTGGAGCACTCCCCAGGGACCACACAGGGATGGGGAGGGATATCCCAGCCACCACTTTTGTCCCTGGTAAGAAGTAGCTGAAGGTGGTGGGCCCTGGGGACAGGCAGGTTCCTGGATGGTCCCCGCTCGTGGCAGCTCCTCTTCCCTCCTCTCCCAGCAGCACCTTGTCCACTGGGCAGATGGAAGAAGACTTGCTGTTGGGCAGCATTGAGGCAATCGTTAGAGCAAGAGCTGACTTGGACACGAGCATGTAGATCGGTTCCACAGTCACGTGCGTGGGTGTACGTGACAATTTGGGACCTGAACACCGTCCCACCCCATGGGGTGGCTTGGGGTGATGAAAGGTTGGCCGGGCTGTGGGGAGCAGGATTCATTGTGTACCCACTCTGCCCTCTAGTGCAACACTACCAGTTTACATCTCCACCAGCTCCTGGACTTACTGGTCTCTCCCCTGCAGCCCCCAACACCTTCTCCTGAAGAGAGGACCTTCCAAACCTCAGAGACCACCTTGGCAAAGCTTTTGGGACCAACCTAGGGGAGCAAGCCCCACCCAAGAGCAGCCCCAGCAGGGCCTGAGGGCCAGCTTGTAGGAGCAGAATGGGTGCTCCCAGCGCTCCCAGTAAAATTTCAACCCTTCTTTTACAGGATGGATGGAGTTTGCTGTGAGCTCGGAGTGCTCTACGCCAAAGGATGCCCCACTGCAAGGCTTGGCTTGATGACCTGCAAGGACGTTGCAATGTCCATAAGGACATTGCAGGATATAGGGTTCGAAAGTAGTTTTTATGCCCTTCTTTCACAGACTCACAGAATCACAGAATCTTCTAGGTTGGAAGGGACCTTAAAGATCATCTTGTCCAACCATCAACCTAACTGACAAAAATAGATACCCCCACAACAAACAAGGAGCATCATCACTAAACCATACCTCCCAGCACTACATCAACCCCCCCCAGCTCCCTCAGCCTCTCCTCATAAGACTTATTCTCCAGACCCCTCACCAGCTTTGTCGCCCTTCTCTGGACCCGCTCCAGCACCTCAATGTCTTTTTTATGGTAGGGGGCCCAAAACTGGACACAGTACTCAAGGTGAGGCCTCACCAGTGCCCAGTACAGGGGGACAATCACCTCTCGGGCCCTACTCCCCACGCTGTTCCTGATACAGGCCAGGATGCTGGTGGCCTTCTGGGCCACCTGGGCACACTGCTGGCTCCTGTTCAGCCGACAGTCGACCAACACGCCCTTCTTTGCACTGTGCTGGTCTCCAAAGCACCCCAGGGACAATTCTAGCCATCCTTGGGTGGCAGGATGAGTCCAGGGGGTGCCAGTTCCGCTGGGCAGATGCCGTTGGGGACGGGTGTTGCGTTGGACAGGGTGCTGCTGCCCTCTAGTGGGCTCAGGCTGGAAGGGAGGGTGGCAGCGAGCACCCAACTCTACACCCTATGCTTGAAAGGGCTAAGGTGGGACATGGGGCTGAGGTTGGATGGGGTTTTGCACAACCAGATCTACTGGGAGGTGTCCCTGCCCATGGCAGGGGGGTTGGAACTGGATGGTCTTTAAGGTCCCTTCCAACCCAAACCATCCCATGATTCCACGGCACCTTCCATGGGATGGAGTGAGCACTGGACCAAGTACCAAGTGGGCACGGCATCACTCCTCCTCCTGGGTGCAGGAGAAAGCCTTCTCTGCCCCACCCCTCTCCACCCTATCCTTCTCCCGAGATCACCCCACTGATCTGCTCCTGGTTCAGGACCCTTCGAAAGCAGCATCTGATTTAGGGCCACTAATAAATTGCCAATTAAGTGTAATGACCAGTGATAGCCCCTTGCACAGAAACACCCAGCACCAAACCACACCTGACCTATGGGGTGGCCATCAACCCCATAGCTGCTTTCCTTCTGTTGTCCCCAGGGACAGGCAGGAGCATTAATTTGTAGCTGGCAACAGCTCTGGAGGAGCCATGAGGGGTTACGGTGCCAACGAGCCGTGAAGCGAGGAGGCAGGAGCGTGGCCGTGGTACCTTCTCCTCTTCTATTAAGAGAGCCGTTGCGTACCTAATGGAGGGGAAAATCAAAACACCTTCCCACTACGCTGGAAGGGCTGATAGATGGGCCAGGAGATTTTTATTACTGAGCGTGAAGCTCCGAGGAGGAGGAGGAAAATTCAACCTCAAAGGTAGGAAACTGGGATGAACCCCTGTGGGTTCACTGGGATGTCCCCGATGGAGACTTCCAGGATGGTGGGCACCGCTGTTTGCTGTCTCCAGAGCACTAGAAAACAACAAGGGATAAAAATAAACCCTCTTTGCACCTTCTCTCTGGTCCTAAGGTGCCCCTAAGAGCTGCATTAACTGGTCCTGGCCCAGGATGCCCAGACTGAGGAACGTCGCCTCAGCTCCTGGGCCCACCTGGAGCTCCTCTCCACAGAGACAGAGGTTTGAGAGACCTCAAGTTCTTAGTTACTGCAAAGCTATTTTTGCAATGGTTCTTGTGCTTTCTGCCCGTGTTGGTCCCCACCACCAGGATCCTACAGGACCCCTCCGCCTCCCGGTCCAGATGGAGAAGACAACCATGGAAAGATCCAGCTCTACTGTCTCTTAGCAAGGAGGGAGGGAGCACCAGGCTCTTGCTGATGGAGCACAGATCTCATCTGAGAACTTGTCATCAGAGGGGGGAGGAGATCCCGGCTACGGAGTCACGAGTTTCCCACATCCACCAAACGTAGGTGGGAACAGGATCTACTACAGCAGAACAACTTACCGTGGGTGGCTTCAAATCCTTGGTAGGGCTTTGAGGTTGGTGCTGGGTACGGGAGGTTGGATGAAAGGGTAACACCTTAAATTACAAAAATTTGTCCAAAAAACCCCATAAAAATCAGGTGCCATTTTTTGGTAGATGGGAGAAAAAGACGCTCCTCAGAAAGGGTAACACCTTAAATTACAAAAATTTGTCCAAAAAACCCCATAAAAATCAGGTGCCATTTTTTGGTAGATGGGAGAAAAAGACGCTCCTCACCACCCTTTTATAGAATCATAGAATGGTTTGGGTTGGAAGGCACCTTAAAGAGCATGGAGTTCCAACCCCTCTGCCATGGGCAGGGACACGTCCCACCAGACCATACATTAACCTGAAGTTGGAAGCACTGACCCTGGATCATTCCCATCTAAGGACATGGGCAGGGACACCTCCCACCAGACCATCCATTAACCTGAAGTTGAAAGCACTGACTCTGGATCATTTCCATCTAAGAGGGGTTTAAACCCACCTCTGTGTCTCTGAGGAGGAGTTTCTCTGGCCTTTCACCTCCCGTGGGGTGAGCTGGGGTGCACAATCCCTGAGTGAGGGACTTGTCTGGCTGCCAGGACCCATGGGGGTTTAAACCCACCTCTGTGTCTCTGAGGAGGAGTTTCTCTGGCCTTTCACCTCCCGTGGGGTGAGCTGGGGTGCACAATCCCTGAGTGAGGGACTTGTCTGGCTGCCAGGACCCATGGTCCTGCCCCACAGCCATGGGCTTGGTCACCCTCCCAGGGTGGTGAGGAGGTGGGGCCCAGTGAAACACAGAATCCCAGGGGAAAATGGGGTGGGGGGTTGTCCCACATCAAGGCTTTGCTGTTTACCAGCTACCTATGAGCTCCTCCAGCGTGGCTGATACCTTCATTCCCATTGATGTGGTCTTCCAAACCCAAGGGATTTGGAAATCCTTGTTGGGAACCCCCTTGGAAACCCAAAACCAGATCAAAACATGCCGTGTGAAGCAAAGATGCCTTTCTTGAAGGGTTTCCATTCTTTTCCAGGAGAAAAGCCCCCACGGGATCCAACCTGAGCCCTGCTCCTCACCTCTTCCATGAAATAACTCACATAAGAAAGCCACCAGCTCCCATTACATCACGCTGGAGATGGAGACCACGTCTCACCAAGGGTTGTCGAGCTGATCTGGACGCTGAGGAGCTCAGTTTGCCTTGGATCAGGCTGTACAAGAACCAACCAATCTCTTCCAACCTCCACAGCTCCAAATTTAGGTAAAAACGACCCAAAATCAACCCGTTTCCAAGCCCAAAGCGAGGCTTGTCCCCTCCACAGCTGGTGGACCAATTCCACCTGTGATTGGCAATGGAGACGCACGCCACGCAGCGGTTTTGAATCAGTGCTTTTTAATCCATAAAAGGTGAGAGTCCATGTACAAATTAACAAAAAAAAATAAAAGAAAATAAAATAAACCCAAATAAACTCACTGTTGTTAGGGAAACTCGCACAAAACACCAACCCAGCACCAACGGAGGAGCTGGGTGATGGGGCTTTGCTGCTTCTCCGCGCTTCTTCTCAATAAATCCATCTCCAGCTCGGAGATGGCCTGTGTCAGCAACACCTTTAAAATCATAGAATCATTGAGGTTGGAAGAGACCCTTGGGATCATCGAGTCCAACCATCTCCCCTACTCTACAAAGTCCTCCCCTACACCATGTCCCTCAGTACCCCATCTAAACATCCCTTAAACACATCCAGGGATGGTGACTCCACCCCCTCCCTGGGCAGCCTGTTCCAATGCCCGACCACTCTTTGGGTGAAAAATTCCTTCCTAATGTTCAATCTAAACCTCCCCTGTTGGAGCTTGAAGCCGTTCCCTCTCGTTCTGTCACTAATTCCCTGTGAGAAGAGACCAGCCCCAACCTCTCTACAGTGTCCTTTCACGGAGTTGTAGAGAGTGATGAGGTCTCCCCTCAGCCTCCTCTTCCTCACACTAAACAGCCCCAGCTCCTTCAGCCGCTCTTCATATGATTTGTGGGGGGGAATATAGAAAAATAGAGGGGGGAAGACACGGCCGGGGTGCTTTCATGGCAAGGTGGCCTTTCCTTTGAACCTAAACCCCCTTCCTTCCCACTCCCCCACCAAGCAGCTGGTGAGATTACGTTGGGGAAAAAAAAGAAAAATCTAAACAGATGGCCCTGTGGTGGTGGCAGCCGGATCCACAAATCCGGTCTGATGACGTTCTCGGTCTACGGAGAGCCTTCTTGGTCAATAAGGCAGAGTTAGAACCCATCTTTGAGTTTCTCCATCAAGAAAAGCGGGGCTGAAAGCTCAGCAGAACCACCAGGAAGAAGTCATGGTAAAAAGCCCCCCAGGGTGAGGGGATGTTCTCATGAAGATACCCCACCGTCGGCGCACGTTTCACCGCGATAAACTACCACCACGTGTTTGTCATGACTTCCAAAAGTACAAAAATACAATCACATCTCTGAAAGGGTATTTTATACCTACCCAGATCATCCGAGCGCTGAAGACCAGACAGCTCTTTAAGCCTTCAGAAAAAAAAAATTAAAAAATAATAATGCAGGAGGCAGAAATGGGACTGAGGAAATTTCGCCGATAGATCTAAGGGCGTATTCGGAGTCTCCCCAGCCTTTCCAGTACAATTACCAAGATGTATGGATCCATCAGGCCAGCTCTGGTAGGAATGCTGACAGCACAGTGTCAGGGTATTAGCAACGTGTGCAAGATCCAATACGAGCACAAATTTAGGAGTTTAATAATCTGGAGGAGCTATCTTCCTGGAATTTTAATCTCATACCAAGGAAAAAAAAAAAAAAAAACAAAAAAACAAAAAACCCCACCAAGGCTCTTAGCTATTAATCTACTCAGATATTTAGGGCAATCCACCTCTACTGATTAAAAAAAAAAAGCGAGACAACAAATGCACGTTAAGTCTTTCCCTTTTCTTCCAAAGCAGCAGGCTCTGCAGCTGGGCTCTATTTGCTGGGAGTCCATTAAAAAAAAAATAATCAAACAAACCAACCCAAAAAGCACTAAAAAATAAGGTCAAACTCATCCTAACTGGTACCGTGGCAGAAATGCCTGGGCAAGTCTATGCTGGACCCCGTGATGGGGTCACCACGAGACATCGACACCCACGCTATCCCTTCTCCCGAAAAAGGGGAGCGGGAGGTGACCCCCAGCTGGAGCTGCTGGACAATTTGGGGGTTTACCTTGCAGAGAAAGCTTAGGAGACTCTAAAGAAGGTTACAGCGTTTGCTTTAATGGCTGGGGCTTGGCTTGGTGGCTCCTCACACCGAGCAGAAGACACAAACCAGTCCCCTCTGTTATACGGAAGCACAGCTCCCCCCTCCCCGCGACCCCTTAAGAGGAAAAAGAAGAAAAAAAACAGAAAAAGAAAAGAAAACTTTAAAAACGAAGAATAAATCGGTGTTTCCCCCTATGGTTTAGCTGAGGATGGTTTCAGACAGGAGTTGGGAGATGGTGGTGGAATCCCGGCGCTGTGCATCGCTCGCCTCTTCGGAGAGGATCCGACCAGCGGCGCATCCCCGGGGAGGGGGGGTTCCTGGGGGTTCCTGGGGGTTCCTGGCAGCACCGACACCAGCACAACCTGGACAAGCCACTGGGGACTTGGAAAGGTTCATGGGCCATCAACCCTGGGGTTGTAGGACACGTCCTAGCCCGGTGGCTGCCTCAGTACATGGCCTCGTTGTCTCCCACCGCGGTGAAGGGGACGCTGTAGGTGCTCTTCTTGCTCCTCTTGCTCTTCTTGCTCCAGACCAGCAGCGTGCTGGCGCTCTTGCTGTTCATCAGGCTCTTTCTGCTGTTCTCCTTGTTGCTCTTCTGCAGCCCAGCACCCGAGGACATGGCTGCTGCCTTCTTGTCCACCTGGTTTGGGAAAGGGAGCGGAAAGAGAGGGATGAAACCGGGGCAGCAGATGTGATGCCTGGCTTCAGCCCTGCACCAAGACACTGAGGAACCTCTTCTGCAATGTCCCACCTAAAGTTTGGGACGTGACTTACAGCTTTTGGTCCCTCTGAGCCCTGCAGGGTTATGACACCGATCTCCACTCCCTCTTCCCCAGTGCTCTTCAGCAGCTGCACCACCTCAGCGTGCTTGGACCACCTGCAGTCCTTGCCGTTCACCGAGATGATGTAGTCTCCTTCCTTCAAGCCAGCTCCCTGCAGGGGAAGAGAGAAGATGCCCACGTTTGAGCTCATGGATGCTGCTGCACGAGGTCTGGCTCAGTGTCCAACACACCCCAAAGGTCCCAATCCTGCAGAGATCATAGAATGGTTCAGGTTGGAAGGGACCTTAACGATCAAGTCCAACCCCCTGCCCTGGGCAGGGACACCTCCCACCACACCAGGTTGCTCAAAGCCTCTTCCAACCTGGCCTTGAACCCCTCCAGGGATGGGGCAGCCACAGCTTCTCTGGGCAACCTGGGTCAGGCTCTCACCACCCTCACAGCAAAGAGTTTCTTCCCCAGACCTCATCTCAATCTCCCCTCTTTCAGTTTAAAACCCTTCCTCCTCCTCCTATGGCTCCCCTCCCTGACTAAGAGTCCCTCCCCAGCTTTCCTGGAGCCCCTTCAGGGACTGGAAGGGGCTCGAAGGTCTCCTTAGACCCTTCTCTTCTCCACGCTGAGCCCCCCCAACTCTCTCAGCCTGTCCTCCCAGCAGAGGGGCTCCAGCCCTCCCAGCATCTTCGTGGCCTCCTCTGGACCCACTCCAACAGGTCCATGATCCTTCCTGTTCTGAGGACTCCAGAGCTGGATGAGAGCTGGTGGATGAGACCTCCACCTCCAGGTGGGGTCTCATCAGAGTGGACTAGAGGGTCACAATCACTTTGGCCCCAGGATTCAGCGAGATCTGCTACCTGGGGGCTGTAACACCCACTGCTGCTCGCAGGTACATCTGCTGTGCGGCACGGACAGAAAAATGGGATGCTCTACAGGATAAGGATCTCTTCTGCAGCTGCTGGAGATGGCCATGCTTGACATCCAGCATGCTCTAAACTCCCAACTTTCTGCAGCAAACTTCCATCCAGCTCTGACCCTTTGATAAAGGTTAAATACTGCAGGTCTCCAATAAAAAAATATAAAATATATTGCCTGCAAGCCCTGATCCTTGAGAAAACAGCAGGCTCAGTGAGGTTCTTTGCCCATCCTTCATCCATCAAGGCATCAACAAGGCTCTTGACGTGCTTGAAGGAAAGGTTTTTTAGGAGGCAGTGGAGACATAGGAGGAGGGGGAATGGTTTTAAACCAAAAGAGGGGAGATTTAGATGAGATCTGGGGAACAAACTCTTTGCTGTGAGGGTGGTGAGACCCTGGCCCAGGTTGCCCAGAGAAGTTATGGTTGCTGGAGATATTCAAGGCCAGGTTGGATGGGGCTTTGAGCAACCTTTTCTGGTGGAAGGTGTCCCTGCCCATGGCAGGGAGGTTGGAACTAGATGAACCTTAAGGTCCCTTCCAACCCAAACCATTCTATGATTCTATGATTTCAGTGTCTGTCTGGAGTCCAATCCCACCCCAGATGGGTGCATTGAATGTTAGTTGCCCAGGGGACACAGCCATGGTCCAGACAGGGATGAAATGTGCTCTTTAAGAAGATTTTACTCTCCCAAAATGGGATGTGATCCTGCTGCATCTCTGTTACAGGGATGCTGGGCTCTAGATGGTTGATGCTGAGGGAATGGGGAGACCTTTCAGGTGTGTCACCAGCAAGCTTCTGCTGGAAAACAAAGCTGCCCCTGATCCATCAAGAAAGCCCAGGCAGTGGGTTTCCACTGAGATAACTCACATTTCAGACTTGCCATCTTGTTCCATCCACCATCAGGTCCCAAAATGGGAGAGAAGGGAGCTGGATGCTTGCCAGCAGTTAAAAACTGAGCTAACATCCGTATTTTCTGCCTTAGCTGTATCCTAAAAATATATGTATATCTCTCAATTCTTTCACGACACCCATCTGCAAGCCCCAGGCTGAGATCTGGCGGGGATGAGTCTCCACCTGAGAACATCGATTCAGTTACCAACGGACTGTTAAGACCTAAAAAACCACTTGGTAGCCCTGGAGGCAACCCCTGACACCTCATTTCGAGCCTCCCCACGGGGACACAGCAAGAGCCTGGGGGTACTCACGGCAGCACAGCCCCCTGGGATGACACCAGCAATGAGGACGGGGGAGTCTCCTCGCAGTGTGAAGCCAAATCCATTCTCTCCTCTCCTCAGGTGGACCCTCCGTGCTGGGTACCACTTGTTTTTGGCCGAGAAAACCGAGAGGGGCCCCTGGGGAAAGGCAAAAAACAGGAAAAGCACCTTTTGGTGCAAGAACATCTCCAGGGGGACGTGCAACCTTGCAAAACACCCACTGATGGGGAGGAGGCAGAGCAAAAAAAGCCTTTTGCATTTCTCTAAGGATGTGATTTTGATTTTTTCCTCGGTGTTTTACCCTTCCTGCACACCCAAAACTGCAGATTTATGCACTGTAAAGCTACAGGTGCTTAAAAGCCCATGTCAGCCCTTGGCTTTATGAGCAGCAACGGAATCTCACATGGGTTGGAAAGACCTCACAGCAGGTCTCTGGTCCAACCCTGTGCCCACTGCTTAGGTCTGAACATCCTCCTGGCATTGTCCTGCTCCTGCAAGGCAGGAGGAGAAGGTCTTGGTACAGTCAGGGAGCTGGAACTGACTGTATAAACACTATTATCCTGATGCAAATTGGGAATGGCTGGCTCCTTAATTTCCCTCTTTGGGAAAAAAAACCCCATCACCCAAGGAGGAATGAGGGGGGTTGAGGTTTTTCACCATTGCCTGGCTCTGGGGGATGCAGCCTGGCTGCGGTGGTCTGGCAGCAGGGTGCAAGGTGGTGGGACAGGATCTTCAGGGTCAGACCCCACCCCAGATCTTTCCTATTTTTCTGGTTTTTTGAGAAGGTCTTGGTACAGTCAGGGAGCTGGATCTCCCCGTTTAAACACTATCATCCTGGAGCAAACAGAAAGCTCCATTGGGAATGGCTGGCTCCTTAATTTCCCTCTTTGGGAAAAAAAACCCCATCACCCAAGGAGGAATGAGGGGGGTTGAGGTTTTTCACCATTGCCTGGCTCTGGGGGATGCAGCCTGGCTGCGGTGGTCTGGCAGCAGGGTGCAAGGTGGTGGGACAGGATCTTCAGGGTCAGACCCCACCCCAGATCTTTCCTATTTTTCTGGTTTTTTCCTACTTTTCTGTTCCCACAGGAGCAGGAGAAACCTGCCTTCCCTGGGGCTGTTCAAAAAGCAGAGATGCCCAACCTCTCCCTGGGGTGCTACGCAACCTTTGGGCTGTCTGGGTGATGAGGACAGCACAGCCAGGTCTCACAGCAGCCCCCAAAACTCAGCCCTGCTTCCTGGGACCCTCAAAACCTAAAGAGGGTAGAGATAAAGGTCTGATGGGTTTCTCCTGGTGCCTCTCAGCTGTCACCATCCTGCTCTGCTCCCCAAAAAAGCTTCCTCTAAAGGGTCCCTTCAGTTCCTCTCGGTTAAAGCCCACCCAAAATGCCTGTGCCCCCCTTCCCCATGCACCGGAGGAGCTTCACGACCCGTTTAGGTCTTGCAGAGACACATCTGTGCCCTCCCACCCCTCCTCCTGCACAGGTCCCTGCCTGTGAGGAGGTGGCTGGTTCTCCTTGGAAAACTGCCTGCGAGCGCAGCAGCTGCACCAGGAGAGGGAGATGAGTCTGCAGGGAGGAAGAAAACCAGGCAAGCAGAGCATGCAGGGGAGGAAGAGGAGGAGGAGGAGATGTCTTGCTCCCTTGGGGCAACCTCCATCCCGTAGCCGTACGTACCAGCTTGTGGAAGAGGTCGGTCACCTTCACCTGGGAGAAGTTGGGGGATTTTATCTCTGGTTTCTGGAGCGTTTTGGCTGGTGGCAGGGAGAAAAAAAGCACATAGATCAGGGGTCAGGGTAGTTGCAGCAGCTGCTGCATCTACATCGTGCTCCCCAGAGAAGGGATGGTGCGACCCAGAAGAGCTGAGACCTTCTCAGGCAGCTGCTGGACACGTAGCCTGGAGCCCCCACTCCCATCTGTGACGTTCCACGGCCATGCAGGGATCTCTGGTCCACAACAACATGCCACAAACTCACCGTTGGAGTTTGCCCACCCCACACAACCTGCCACAAACCCCCCCTCCCCAGCTGCACCCACCCCAAAAAGAAACACTCACGGTGAATGTCGGGGGCATCTCCTGTCTCGAAGAAGTCCTCCTCGTGGTCGATCTCTGAATACTTGCTCAGCGAGCGCTTGTGGGCGAAGGAGAGGACCTCCTGGAGGATGTCCATCTTCCGCAGGATCTTGCACAAGCCGTGGATCCTCATGGCCTCCTCGTGCTTCATGATGGCTTTCTTCAGGTGAGCTTTGCCTGCAAAAGGAGCGAGAGATGATGGCAGCCCGAGGGGAGGGGAGAGGAGCTGCTCTTCCTTCTCCGCTCGCTCCGGCTTCCCACGGATGACAGCAGCTTCTTCCCTGGCTGTGTCACCCGACGTGACTCAGGGACAGCCCAGTCACGTTCCCAGCCTGCCAGGCTCTTCAACGTTGTGCTAAATGGAGTAGGTCCCAGCCGTCAGTTTGCACCCCCCCTTGATGGCCCCCCCCCCCCCCCCCCCCCCCGGCGCCGGCGGCAGAGCTGGCAGATGTTCCCAAAAAACCACCGGAGAAGGAGCTGCCACCACCTCGCGCCGCCCCCGAAGTCCCTCCTAATGCTTAACCTCAATCTCCTCAGCAAATTAACTTCTCTCCATCTCCTTGTGTCCCCCGGGGGGGCACACGGAGGACGACTGAGCCCCGTCCTCCTGGCGACAGCCTTTTAGCTTCAGGAAGATGCAACACAGAATCACAGAATCGTAGTGGTTGGAAGGGACCTCAGAGATCATCGAGTCCAACCAACACACAAAAAAACAAAACAAAAAAAACAAAACAAAAAAAACAAAACAAAAAACACCACACAAAAAACACAAACCACCACCCACCAAACACACAACAACAACCACCAAACCAAAAACCATCACCCACCCACACAGCACCCCACCACAAACCAGTAATCTTGGGCACCAGAGCGTGCCCTGAAGAACCATGTCTACACGTTTCTTAAATACCTCCAGGGATGGTGTGACTCCACCACCTCCCTGGGCACACATCTCCCTCTTTCCCAGGCTGAGCAAAGCCTTCTCCTTGCCCTGGCAGGTCTTGCTGTCCACCCTCTTGGGCATCTTGCTCTTGCTCAACTTGCCTTCAGTGTGTTTCCATCCTTGGGAAAAGGGAGCGGCCGAGAAATGGCCAGAAGAGACGAAATCGCGATAACCCACGGATATCAAGGCAAACATCTCCTCCGCGAGAGACTGCAACCAAGACACCCGGATCCAACGCGAAACTACCCAAAAAAAGCTATATATATCTGTACATACACGCACACACGTATCATGGAAACACGTGTGCCTGTAGCATTTCTAGTTTTAGGACACACGGTGGCAACATAACCCAAGGAGATGGTTGGCATTTGCTTCAGCTTCTGAAAAATACAGCCAGCAGCCTGAAAAACCTCTGTTTTCCCCCCACCACAAGTCGCAATCGAGGAAATATCGAGGCAATATCAAGGCTGGATGGACACCAGAGAGGAAGAGATTCCCCAAAATAATTGCATCAAACGAAATCAGTCGTATTTTATCAAAGCACCCACAGCCAGCCCCATCCAGAGGCAAGGAAACAACTATGTTTTATTGAATATTACCAATTCCTGGTGTTTGCATCAAACGAAATCAGTCGTATTTTATCAAAGCACCCACAGCCAGCCCCATCCAGAGGCAAGAAAACAACTATGTTTTATTGAATATTCTCAATTCCTCAATTTCAAAATACCACTGGGAATACAGGTTGAGCAGGGAAGTTGTGCAAGCTTTTGGCTCTGCTCTCTTCATCGTGGTGGACTACACCATGTCTGATAAAAGGAAATGTGATAAGACTGGGAGACAAGGGAAGGGAGGGAAAAAAATATCCTTTCAGGAAGATGGTTTTAATGCTGCGAGTTTCTTCCCTTCCTGGAACCAAAACCAGAGCTGAGACTGGCATCTACCCGTTGATTTTTCACCAGCAGATGTTGAATGATGCCTGTTCCCCCCAAGAAGAGCAGGCAGAGCTGGAAGCTGGGCTGACAGAATGAATCACAGAACGATACGGGGTTGGAAGGGATCTCTGGAGATCATCTAGTCCAACCCCCCTGCCAAAGCAGGTCCACCTACAGCAGGTTGCACAGGAACATGTCCAGGCATGTTTTGAATGTCTCCAGAGACTGAGACTCCACCCCCTCTCTGGGCAGCCTCTGCCAGGGCTCTGGACCCTCTCAGGAAAGAAGTCCCCCCTCATGTTGAGATGGAACTTCCTTTGTTCAAGTTTGTGCCATTACCTCCTGTCCTGTCACTGGGCACCACTGAAAAAGACTGGCCCCATCCTCCTGACACCCACCCTTTAAGTATTTATAAGCATTGATCAGACCCCCCCCGAGTCTTCTCTTCTTCAGACTAAAGAGACCCAAGTCCCTCAGCCTTTCCTCATCAGAGAGATGATCTAGTCCCCTCATCATCTTCTTAGCCCTTTGCTGTACCCTCTCCAGCAGTTCCCTCTCCTTCTTGAACTGTGGAGCCCAGAACTGGACCCAGTGCTCCAGATGTGGCCTCGCCAGGGCAGAGTAGATGGGGAGAATGACCTCCCTCCACGTGCTGGCCACGACAGAGTAGATGGGGAGAATGACCTCCCTCCATGTGCTGGCCACGATCTTCTTGGCCATGAGGGCACATTGCTGGCTCATGACACAAATTGGGAAACCAGATGACATCAGCTGAGGGTGTCGGGGTGATGTTACCACAACGCTCTGCTTTTGGGGGTCATCTAAGGAGTCTTCTCATGCACGTCCTCCACCTCCCATCCCAGGCAGTGAAATCCTGCCGAGTAGCCGGGAGGACTTTCCTGGGACCCACAACATGACAAACTCATTCCTGGATGGGACCTGCCTCCTTTCACACGTGTGCCATGAGGGGAAAGAACACCAGGAGACAGGTCATGGGGGAGGTAAACAAGAGATGACACCCCAAAATCAGGGCGCTGAGCTTGTTCTTGCTGCAGCCTTGTTGGGGAGGGGCTGCCAAAACACGACTTCAGCTGAATAAGCAACGCTCTGTTTTTCCCCTGAAGCTGAAAATCCGCATGGGAGGAAGCTCTTCGTCTCCCAAGCCTTTTGACGCAGCTAAAAAAGCCACCCCCTGGCATCTGCTGCGTCTTCTTGTCATCAAGCCAAGTCAGCAGCAAGCCCAAGCCAAGGAGCTTCCAGGATCTCTATGTCCCTACGGATTTCTCCCTGCTGCGTTGGGTGACGTTACCTGGCTCAGGACACCTTGGTTCCTGAGGTTTTACTGTCAAACTCAGGTGGCCAGGTAGGTGCAAGCACCATGAGTTAGTCTTCAACACTCCAATAGGGAGCCGTGGCACTTTTCTGCCTTCCCAGGAGAAGCTCCTTCCAAAGAATCACAGAATGATATGAGGTTGGAACGTACCTCTAGAGATCATCTAGTCCAACCCTCCTACAAGAGCAGGTCCCCCTAGAGCAGGTTGCACAGGAACATGTCCAGGAGGGTTTTGAATGTCTCCAGAGATGGAGACCCCACCTCCTCTCTGGGCAGCCTGTTTCACTGTTGTGCCACCCTCGAATTAAAGAAGTTCCTCCTCATGTTGAGATGGAACTTCCTACGTTCAAGTTCATGAAAGCCACCAAAAAGGTGTCTCTGCATGGAATGATCCCCCAACAGCTCATCCCATTCCTTCATGGAGACCATGCCTACATGGGTAGGGTTACGATGGGGCTCACCTCCCGTGCATTGAGGTCTCAGCGCAAGAACTGGGGCTTTGCCCCCATGGATGCACTTACCCAGCTTCCTCCTCTCCTCAGGGTCCTGCAGCAGGACGCGGAGTGAAGGTCCCTCTGGCATGGTGACATGGAACTGGATGAAAGCCTTCTCGTGCTCCGGCAGTTCAGCATCGGACGCTGCTGTGTGAAAAATTGGGTGGGGATGGTCTGAGTTTCTCTGGGGTTCTGCTCAGTAGCCTGGATGCCCATGGTGGTGGGGGCAAGGGGACCAGGAGGCCACATCCATGATCATGATCGGGGTTCTTTACTGTGCCTCCTCTCCTCAGGGTCCTGCAGCAGGACGCGGAGTGAAGGTCCCTCTGGCATGGTGACATGGAACTGGATGAAAGCCTTCTCGTGCTCCGGCAGTTCAGCATCGGACGCTGCTGTGTGAAAAATTGGGTGGGGATGGTCTGAGTCTCTCTGGGGTTCTGCTCAGCAGCCTGGATGCCCATGGTGATGGGGGCAAGGGGACCAGGAAGCCACATCCATGATCATGTGGCCCTTCAGCAGCAGCTTCCTCTTACCCAACCACAGCCTGTAACGACCACTGAGCCACTGCTGATGGAGAGGGATGAGTTATCACATTCAAGGCTCTACCAGGCTTTGAAGCCAAGCACAGGATTTGTCCTGTGCACAGCACAAGTATCTGGCTCTTTTGCTTTCTCCCATCCTTTGCTCTGGTCTGGAAGTAGGATTGGAAATCAAGAGCCCTGAGTTTTCCCCCTTCCAGCCTGGGCAATTCTATGATTCTATGATCATGTGACCCTTCAGCAGCAGCTTCCTCTTACCCAACCACAGCCTGTAACGACCACTGAGCCACTGCTGATGGAGAGGGATGAGTTATCACATTCAAGGCTCTACCAGGCTTTGAAGCCAAGCACAGGATTTGTCCTGTGCACAGCACAAGTATCTGGCTCTTTTGCTTTCTCCCATCCTTTGCTCTGGTCTGGAAGTAGGATTGGAAATCAAGAGCCCTGAGTTTTCCCCTCTGGAGGTTGGTGACAAGGACCCAAGTTGGACAACAACTAAAGCACAAGAGTTGGGCAGATTAATTTGGGAGCTAAGCCCTCCTTGCTGTGCCTGGGACCGCTACATGGGCAGACAGCCGGTGGTGGAACCAAGGAGGTCCTTCAATAGAGAAAATGAGATGGATACAGCTTGTAGAGGTGCTCCAACCCCACCGGGCTCTGTTCACATGATTTTTATACCTCTATTTCCAACCAAAGCTGTTCCTAATCCCATTTGGCTCACAAAGTTGCATGGTAGCCTCCTTTCCTGGGCACAGGGTGCAATAAGAAGCTACCCAGAAGGCTCCAGGGAGCCTCGTAGACTTGCTGGTCCACATGCAAGGAGATCCCAAAGCCTGGTGAGCACCTCTGGTGTAAGCACCCAGTCGGCTGGGAACTGGCTGCTCCAGGGCTGGCTCTACTCCATCCCAACCCTCTTTTGTGCCAGCTTTCCCCAGGGGATTAAACTGCAGCGTAAGGAGTTTATTGCCAGCTGGTTATGGAAGCACAAGATTTGTTATTTTGCACCAGGGGGTCAGGGAGAGGTAGTGAGAGGGCACGTGAGATCTCAACAACGTGCAAAAAAAATCCCCAAACCCCTAAATTAAGGATCTCCAGGCAGATTTGTGTTTCCCCCAGCACCTAAGGTTATTAGGCCAGACGAAAAGCCTCCAAAATTTTAAGGGGAGAGGTTTGCCCTTGTCCCTTGCAACCCCACACAAACCCAGCCCCACCACCATCCTCTGCTGTCTCAGTCTGCTCCAGCCCCAGAGCACCCCACTCTCTCCTGTCTCTGCCCCACCATCTCTCCTTGCTCAATCCTGCTTCTGTGACATCCCACGTGGCACAAACCCGACAGTGAGATTCCAGGCAGACTCCAGAGTGTGGGAGGATGCTGGGACAGTCTGGCAGCCACCACCGTCACCGTCACTGCACTGCTTTCAGCAGCCATCCCCCATGAAGCCCCCCCAGCCTGTTCTCAGCCACCCCACCAAGCCATGGGGTGGCACCACAGGTCATGCCTGAGCATCGCCTGCCCGCCCCCAGATCCTCTGCCTGACCCAAAATCGCTTGTTGGTGACGGAGCAGATGGAGACCATGGGTCACATCCTATGTCCACGCTCCAGCTGGCTCCCTGGAGCCATGGAAGCCTGACTATGGCACAGCCACCCATACCCAACCACCCTGGAATCATAGACTGGTTTGGGTAGGAACTTAAAGACCACCTAGTCCAACCCCCTGTCATGGGCAGGGACACCTCCCACCAGACCAGGTTGCTCAAAGCCCCCTCCAACCTGGCCTTGAACACCTCCAGGGATGGGGAAGCCACAGCTTCTCGGGACAACCTGGAACAGGGTCTTAGCACCCTCACAACAAAGAACTTCTTCCTGAGATCTCATCTAAATCTCCCCTCTTTCTGTGTCAAACCATTCCTCCTCATCCTATGGCTCCCCTCCCTGACCAGAAGTCCCTCCCCAGCTTTTCTGGAGCCCCTTCAGGGACTGGAAAGGGCTCAAAGATCTCCCCAGAGCCTTGTGTTTTCCAGCCCTCTGACGGAAGGGGCTCAAAGGTCTCCCCAGAGCCTTGTGTTTTCCAGGCTCCAGCCCTCTAACCATCTCTGTGGCCTCCTCTGGACCCACTACAACAGGTCCATGTCCTTCTTGTGCTGAGGACTCCAGAGCTGGACACAGTACTCCAGGTGGGGTCTCCCCAGAGTAGAGGGGCACAATCCCCTCACTTGCCCTGCTGGCCAAGCTGCTGGGGATGCTGATTCCTGTGCTGAGAACTCCAGAGCTGGACACTACTCCAGGTAGGGTCTCCCCAGAGTAGAAGGGCACAATCCCCTCCCTTGCCCAGGTGGCCAAGCTGCTGGGGATGCTGATCCTGTTGAGCTTCTCATCCACCAACACCCCTAAATCCTTCTCCTCAGGGTTGCTCTCCATCCATTCTCTGCCCAGGCACCAACACCCCTAAGTCCTTCTCCTCGGGGTTGCTCTCCATCCATTCTCTACCCAGCCTGTATTTGATGCCCAGGGCAGCTGGCTACAAAGCTGGCAATTAAATTCCAGTAGCCCAAACCAGTTTGTCCTGGGATATCCTGAGTTTTTTGGGGTTTATTTTTATTTTTTAAACCCCTAGCTGGCCAACCACAGGGACCAGGGTGCCTCAGGAGTATGCCAGGCTGAGGACACCAACGCACGTGTGGTCAAGCAGGTAGTTGATGCCCCCATTTACCCGCTCAGCTCCAAAAAAGGACAGCAGGTGACACCCAAACCATTCTATGATTCCATGATCCCCACAGCACCTTTTTGCTCACCTTCTCGCAAGGACTTTGCAAACCAGAAATACAGGGGACATCTCCCCTGTGCATGAATTGCTGAGTCAACAAGTGAGATCAACAGCTCAGAGATCCCAAAAACTTGAGGTTTTGTGTCTATTGAACCTGTGCATGTGTCCCTTCACCTCTTTTTTTTTTTTTGTATTCCCTCCCAAACATCAGGCCACCACATGGAGCCAACACTCACCGGGGCAGTCGCAGAGAGCAATGGCAGTGAAGTAGTGGGAGAGGGCTTTGAAATGCTCCGACTTGACATGGACCATGGTGGTCCAAGAGAAGGGAACATAATCCTTCACGTGGGCCTGGGTCATTGTCTGGTGCACCAACGAGTAGACATCTTCCACCTGTGGGGCATCAAGAGACAAGTCGCTAAGTCACGGGTTGGGATGTTGGATGTCCATCAGGAGGCAGTGACAGTAGGTTGTCCTCTCCTGGGGGGTTTTGCCGACCACAGGAGGAGCCTCTCCAGTGGTGGTAGCCCCACCAAGTCCTCTCCTCCCTGAGGTGCTCACCCTTGCTGCCTCCTGAGCAAGCTGCAGCCGGGAGAGGAAGTCGTGCTGAGTGCGCAGCAAGGTCATCTTCTCAAAGACGCACTCCTGGACCTGGGCGACCATCAGTCGCACCAGCATGTTCAAGGAGGCAGCGCTCATATCCAGGCTGGGAGCATTGGAGAAGTTTTCCTTCAAGTAGTTAAAGGCACCTGTGTGAGGGAGAAGCTCTTGGTATCAGCTGGGCTTGTAAGCAGGAGGGTCAGGCTGTCTGACCATGAAGGTTTCCCCACCAGCGGCACAGGAGAAGAGCCCCCAGCGCAGCTCACACATCAAACATGTCACCGTAAGCAGTGGGTAAAATGGTCAAGGGTCCCTCCTTTGCTATCTAAACCACCCTTGTGCCCACAGCTTTCTTCTCCAAAGGCCTCCACAGTCCCAGGAGGCAGCGCTCATATCCAGGCTGGGAGCATTGGAGAAGTTTTCCTTCAAGTAGTTAAAGGCACCTGTGTGAGGGAGAAGCTCTTGGTATCAGCTGGGCTTGTAAGCAGGAGAGTCAGGCTTTCTGACCACGAAGGTTTCCCCACCAGCGGCACAGGAGGAGAAGAGTCCCCAGCGCACCTCACACATCAAACATGTCACCATAACCAGTGGGTAAAATGGTCAAGGGTCCCTCCTTTGCTATCTAAACCACCCTTGTGCCCACAGCTTTCTTCTCCAAAGCCCTGAATGATCACAGTCCCAGGGTCTTGTAGATGGACCAGCATTTCTCAAGGGTCTCTTCCAACCTCAATGATTCTATGATTCTATGATTCTATTTCCCAGCTGCTCGTAGATGGACGAGCATTTCTTCTCTCCCCAGCTGGGACATCCCTACTGCCCTGTGGCAAGAGAGAGCCCTTTGGGTGGTTGTTGGGCGATCCCAGCTCCTCTTCATAACCCACAGAAGCAGTGTCGTGCCAACTTGTACTTGGTTCCTGGTCCCTTGGAGATGCCCCAACCCCTTCCCTCTTTGCACAACCACTCCCTCCCCTTCTTGCCCTCACAAGGATTATTGCCACCCTGTGGAAATGCTGTCTGCCCACCCATGGGGAGCTGGAGAAAGGGGGGAGGACCCACGTACCGGCCGCCTTCTGAAAGGCATCGATGGCCTGGTTGAGCCCCGGCAGGGAGGCCCGGTCCTGCCGCGCTCCGATCTGGGTGTGCAGGGCTCCGATGTTGAAGAGCACGCTGCCCTTCTCGAAGGCCAGAGCTCGCTGGTGGGACGGGACCCCCGTCAGGGAATCGTACCTGGGGAAGAGAAGAATCAAAATTCTACCCATGGCCAAGTCGATGATGAAGCGCTGGGAGGGATGGTTTAGTGATGATGCTCCTTGTTTGTTGTGTGGGTGTCTATTTTTGTCAGTTGGGTTGACGGTTGGACAAGATGATCTTTAAGGTCCCTTCCAACCTAGAAGATTGATTCTGTGAAAGTCCTGGGTAGCTGGATGCAGGAGGAGCCTGGAGGGTTTTCAGCATTTTGCATGGGCTTGCAGCCACCATTCCCACCACAGCTCATCCCCATGGGGCACAGACTTTCCCCTAACCAATTTGCCCAAGGCAACAGCAAGCCCAGAGCAAGGGGAAAACCCATCTCCCCACATCCACCAGCCCCAGCTTCGCTGCCGAGGCAGCCATCCCATCGTGGAGGCTCCCTCCCAACTTTGTGATGCCCCAGGTGGGACAGGGAAAGCTGCACCAACCAGTGGAAGAAGATGCCCAGGCTTCTGGTGGGAGGGAAGAAACGGCTGTCGAGGAAGTAGAGCTGGTTGTAATATTCCATCAAGAGCTCCAGCCCAGCTTCGTTGCGGCTTGGGGTGCGCATCGCCTGTGGGGATGGGAGAGGAGACATGTGGGTGGGAAGAGAAGGGGGGGAAAACGGGAAGGAAAAGTAGGATTTATGGAGCTGCACATACTGGCTAACCCAGGGGGGAGAGAATTCCCCTGAGTTATTAGATCAATTAAGAGAAGGGGGGAAAACGGGAAGGAAAAGTTGGATTTATGGAGCTGCACATGCTGGCCAGCCCAGGGGGGAGAGAATTCCTCTGAGTTATTAGATCAATCGGATCAGATCAATAGTTGATGAGAAGCAGCAGCGGGAGGCAGCCCCACAGCACAGGTTCAGCTGTGGGAAGGGTCAGGGAGCCACCAATTTGGTGCTGGGGCACCCAAATCCAGAGCCAGCAGCCTGGGAACTGTGCTGATGGCAACACTTGCCTAAACCAAGCTGGGATTATTATTATTTTTAAGACAGAAACCCATGCAAAGTCTGCTGAAATAAACGCTAAGGAAGAAACAGGATTTTTTGCTCTTAATAAAAAAAGCCCTTGAGCTTTTGACCTGACCCAGGGAGGAGGGTCAGAGCTTTCCTAATGCCTAGTTTTAACCACAGGGCTTTTCTCAGCTTCTGGCTTTGCAGGGCTCCCCTCCCACAGCCTGAAGAGCAGGATCAGGCCCTTCACAAGGGCTTGAGCAAGCCTCTTGCTTTCCACTCTCCCAGATCAAAGCTTCACGGCAAGGCAAAACCTGAAGTTACTTATGAAAACTGCTTCAGAGGAGAGTGGAAAGTCCACCTTTACCAGATGGCTTTATATCTCCTCTTCTCCAAGTGATAACGGGAGAGAAAGCGGGCATTTAACCTCACTGGGGGTGAACTAATATTCATAAAGCAGTACTGGATTGCATTATAATTTTTATTGCTGTTCAGTTCCAGGTTTGCAGGGTGTTAAAGGATGGGGAAAGAAAACAATTAGTGAATGGTCTGTAATATTACAGAACCGAAGCTGAGGTGCTGTAGAGTGAGAATCCTTCACCCTGAGACACAAGGATAAAGGTGCAGTTTGGAAAAAGGCTGAGAGGACCCTGAAGGAAAATGAGGCACCTCCAGAAAGCATTTTTGGACGAGGCAAAGCAAGACTTTGCAGCTCAACAGACACCAACCTGCCGTAGCTCCATGAACTCTTTGATTTCCTTTTCAAACAAGACGCCCTCCTCTCCATAGTGTTCACTGATGAAATCCTGGATGGGGAAACAAGAGAAAAAGAAAACCCTGAGTCACCCCGGGAATAGATATTCAAGATTTAAAGGGTGACTTTGGGTGATTCTGCATAGGGAATTTGCAAGCTCTCTCTGCCAGGGAAAGCCTCTCCTGCCTGGCTTTTGCTCTCCACCCTCTCCAGACCCTCATATCTCCTACTTTGCCATGTTTGAAGTCCAGCTCCTCCCCATAAACCTATTTTTTTTGCAGCTGGTCTAAACCAGAAAATGTTCTGCAGCTGCTGCAGCATCTCCTCTACAGCACCCAAAGTACATGGTTGCTCCCCTCCATTGTCTTACGTTGCATCAAGCAAGCAAAACCCCGATGCTCACCTTCAGTGGTACCAGCAAATCCAGCTCCTTCGTCTCCTTCAGGCCCAAAGGGATCATGGGGACGCTGATGGACTCGCTGGAAGAAGACAGCAACCTATTTGGTGGTCGGTTTAAAAGCCACAGAGGGACTAAAATGAAACAGCTCTTTGGCCCTGGGCTTCTGCTGCTCCTATTAAAGGGTAAAACTAGAAGAGGACCTGATGCTCCACAGCAATGTCCGTATTATGGCAACATAAATTCCCAATGTTATTTTTGGAACTGCAATGAGGGAGGAGAGGTGGGCACAAAACAGAATATGATGTATTTTTCATATCATAGATTTCATACCTGATAAGAAAATAACCTGATACTATCACCCTTATTCCTTCAGCTTCTGCTTTTCTCTCCTCAACAAGCACTATAGTCCCCAAATCAACTCCCGATAATGAAGCTGCTTTAATTACAAGCCCTTGGGAACTGGGTGTGATGGGAGCACAGGTCATAGATTCACCCAGCTCCTACGTGCTAGTCCGGGCTCGGGCGCTGATAAGGACCCGCTCAGGCTGCAGCCCTGTGCCTGATATTGAAATTTTCTACCTCTATTAAAAGCAGTTATCTAATAATAGCTCTTATCACGATACTGTCAAACACTGAAGATGACTCTGGGAACGCCCAGTTGGGGACTGGTTTGTGTTTCAACATTAAAATGGGGAAGTTGGGCAGCAGCGAGGAAGAAGCGCTGCCGGATGACAGCCACGAAGGACCATCTTTGGGGGGATTTAGCGGCTTTTTTTGATTTTCTGCTGCCAAGAAGTGAAGAAATGGTGTGTACCAGCAGCAGAGCCTGCAGCACACAGAAAAATTACAGCGTTGCTGCTCTGCAAAGAGCCCCAAAGCTGGAGCCATCGTTCAACTCCTGCATCCAGACATGAGGTACCACTTGTGGTGGTACCCACAGCTCACATCAGCTCCACAAAAGCGTTCCCTGATACCCATCTATCCCTCAGGGATGTTTCCAACCCTGAAACTGAGCCGTGTTACAGCATCCCCAGACCCTTGGCCTCCCAGGGGACTGGTTTAAAGAGTGAGAAGGGTTTGGCAGAGTGAGAAATGGGAAGTGGGTCGGGCAGGATCAAGCGCTTGCACAAAAGCCCCCCTCTCGTAACCTCCAGAGACCGCTGATAACTTGTTAGCACATCCCTCATTAGTCCAGGGAGGAAAAGAGGCAAAGAAAGTTGCAAAAAAAAAACCATGGGGAGCTGGGCAGGGAGGTTGCCCCCACATTTTCATCTGTTCATACTGAATAAACAACATCAAGAGCTATAATTAGTGCAGAAAAGCCATTATCGCTCCTTCCCTAACAAGATTTCCGCTTGAATCCAGGGCCTAAGAGCAAACAAAGGGACTTTTGTTTGGCCTGGGCTGGGTTTTGGGGTTGCTGCTGCTGTTTTCTTTTTAAACCAGAGCAAACAAGCAGCGGGTTGGAAGCTTTTCCTATCAGGAAAAAGCTTCCTGATAGGGAAGAACCTGGGGAGGACGCCTGCAACACGGGGGATGTTGCATGCATCCCTACTTCTAGCAGAAAAGAAGAAGAACCAACACCCAAGATTACACCCAGAGACTGCAACAGACCCTCTGAGTGCAGCAAACACCCAAGGGTGATGGAGATATGGGCTTCCTTGGCTTTCTCCACATAGGAGACCTCGTGAGTGTAATGCAATCCTGCAGCCAGATCATCCTGGTCCCACATTTAATATCCTTGCAACAATATCCTGCAGGACAGAGTCACTGATGCTCTCCTGGTCTTTGCATCTCCAGCAGCACAGCAATCCTCCCCCAAAGAGGACCATGCAGATGAACATAGAATTGTAGAATCACAGAATGGTTTGGGTTGGAAGGGACCTTTAAAGCCCATCAAGTTCAGCCCCACTGCAATGAGCAGGGACACCTCCCACCAGACCAGGTTGCTCAGAACCCCATCCAACCTGGCCTGGGATGTTTCCAGGGATGGGGCAACCACAGCTTCTCTGGGCAACCAGGGCCAGGGTCTCACCACCCTCACAGCAAAGAATTTGTTACTGAGATCTAACCTAAATCTCCCCTCTTTCAGTTTAAAACCATTCCCCCTCATCCTATCTCTCCACTCCTGATCAAGAGTCCCTCCTCAGGTTTCCTGACAGCCCAGTATGTGGTGGGCTTTCTGGGCTGCCAGCACCTGTTGTTGGCTCACATCCAGATTTTCTGCCCTCACCCCCCTTCCCTTGGCCTTGTTGAACCCCATGAGACCCGCTCCTCCAGCTTTGTCCAGGTCCCTCCGGGGCTCCATGCCTTTCTGAAGTTGGTGGCCCCAGAGCTGGAGGCAGCACTGCAGAGGGATCTCCCCAGAATAAAGCAGAGGGGCAGAATCCCCCCCACCCCACCCTGCTGGTGAGGCAGCACTGGGGGGGGGGTCTCCCCAGAAGAAAGCAGAGGGGCAGAATCCCTCTCTCCTCACCCTACTGACCACGTTGCTGGGGTTGCAGCCCAGTATGTGGTGGGCTTTCTGGGCTGCCAGCACCTGTTGTTGGCTCACATCCAGATTTTCTGCCCTCCACCACCCCCAAGTCCTTCTTGGCAGGGCCGCTCTTCATCCCTTCATCCCCAACCTGCTCTGAGACTGTGTGGTTGCCCCAACCCAGGTGCACCCCCCTGCCCTTGTTGAACCTTGTTGAACCCCATGAGACCTGCTCCTCCAGCTTTGTCCAGGTCCCTCCAGAACCCCCAAGTCCTTCTTGGCAGGGTTGCTCTTCATCCCTTCGTCCCCAACCTGCTCTGAGACTGCGTGGTTGCCCCAACCCAGGTGTACCCCCCTTCCCTTGGCCTTGTTGAACCCCATGAGACCTGCTCCTCCAGCTTTGTCCAGGTCCCTCCAGATGGCATCCCATCCCCTCAAGCCTGTCAACCTGCTCAGCTTGGTGTCATCAAACACCATCCATCAAGGGAAGGGAAGGGAAGGGAAGGGAAGGCAACGGCTCCCACGAGGTGCCACATCCCTGGTCTATCCTGCCTCGGGGATTTCTGCTTTTCTCACCCAGAGAAAGGGTGCTGCAGAGCCGCCCCGGCACGTTGGTTTGCTGCTGGCGAGTGTGCTGGGATTACCACTCCGGTGAGTCAAGCCCGAGGTGGCTGGGTAAGCATTTCAAAATGACAGAGCCTTCCCAATTAACAAAAAAGGTCTAACCTCGGAATGAGAGAAAAATAACTTAATACCCTCGATGGGAAAAGAAAGCCGTGAGTAAGGCACTCCGGGAACAAGCAGAACAGGAGATGGGACACCTGAGCGGCCACACTTTTTATTTCTTCTGCTAAATTCCCCTATTTCACCTGCTGGAAAAAACTCCTGGGATGCTCAGGAAAGGGGGATGATGAGAGTGAAGATGGTTGTTTCTGATTTGTCCATCCTGTTTTGGGGATTGTGTATTGTGTGCAGGTCTGGAGCCCTCAATATAAGAAGGACATGGACCTGATGGAGAGGGTCCAGAGGAGGGCCCCAAGGATGATCAGGGGGATGGAGCACCTCTGCTCCGAGGACAGGCTGAGGGAGCTGGGGTTGTTCAGCCTGGAGAAGAGGAGGCTCCGGGGAGACCTAATAGCAGCCTTCCAGTACCTGAAGGGGCCTACAGGAAGGCTGGGGAGAACCTGTTTAGAAAGGGCTGCAGTGACAGGACGAGGGGCAATGGCTTCAAGCTGGAGGGGAACAGATTTAGACTGGAGATGAGGAGAGGGTTCTTCACTGTGAGGGTGGTGGAGCACTGGGACAGGTTGCCCAGGGAGGTGGTTGAGGCCCCTTCCCTGGAGATATTCAAGGAGAGGCTCGACGAGGCCCTGGGCACCCTGGTCTAGTTGGGGGTGTCCCTGCTGACTGCGGGGGGGGCGGACTAGATGGCCTTTGGAGGTCCCTTCCGGCCGGAGGAATTCTATGATTCTATGATACTGGTGGATGGCCTTTGGAGGTCCCTTCCGGCCTGAGGAATTCTATGATTCTATGATACTGGTATTAAGAGGACACACCATCCATCCCCAAATGCCTCCAGGCTGGATGGGGCTTTGAGCAACCTGGTCTAGTTGGGGGTGTCCCTGCTGACTGCGGGGAGGTCCGACTACATGACCTTTGGAGGTCCCTTCCGGCCTCAGGAATTCTATGATTCTATGATCCTGGTGTTAAGAGGACACACCATCCATCCCCAAATGCCTCCAGGCTGGATGGGGCTTTGAGCAACCTGGTCTAGAGGGAGGTGTCCCTGGGGTTGGAACTCAATGATCTTTAAGGTCCCTTCTAACCCATTCTAGGATTTTAAGTATCTGCTGGGACAAGCTGTTGAGTTTGCTCTCCTTGCACCTCTATAGATGAAACATGGATGTTCCCAGGGTGAAAAGTTATTTCCAGCAAATCTGGCAATGCCCAAGTCCTCCTCTGTTCTCCAGCCACCACCCCATGGTCCAAACCCTTCGCGGAACAGGGAAGCAGAGCAATGGGTACAAAGCAAGAGGCTTCCTTGCTCCCAAAGAAAGCAAAAATGAAATAATAACAATAAAAATAGATTCCCAACTGAGCAAGATGTTCTTCTCAGGCTGCAGGCAGCTGCCTGCCTGGCTCGACTGCCTGGTATACCTGTCGTTCTGGTAGACCTCCATGCTGCTGTTCAGTTCCTCCAGCTCCTCCTTCAGCAACTGCAGGTTGGAGTTGACGTAGCTTAGCTCCAGGGCAACCGTCTCTTTGACCTTGTGGTTACTGGTGGCCCTGCAAGACAACAAACACCGTGTGGATCAAACCTCCCCCATTTCATCACTGTCTTTATTGATCACCACTTGACTGCATTATAAACAGAGATTAAGTTATTGAGCAGTGCAATACCGTGTGCATCCATCCAAACCTTCCATGCTCCTTACTCTGCACATGATGGAGACTGGTGAAGCCAGAGCATCCAGCCTGCTGTGCCGTGGAGTTTGAGGCCAGCCAAAACCATAGAACCATGGAATGGTTCAGGTTGGAAGGGACCTTAAAGATCATCGAGTTCCAACCCCCCCGCCATGGGCATGGACACCCCCCACTAGACCAGGTTGCTCAAAGCCCCACCCAGCCTGGTCTTGAACACCTCCAGGGATGGGACAAAACTCATTCTAGTGTTGCATCCTGTTCAGACAAACCTGCTGCTTCTCCCCTGGATCAACATTCCCCTTGCCCATCTATGTTCCTACCTCCAGTGCAGCTTCAGATTTGGCTCACCCACACCAAATAGAACTGCTTGATAGTTGGGTTTGAGGAAGTATCATGGTTTCAGCTGAGACAGAGTTGACTTTCTGGCTCACATCTGGGAGAGTGCTGTGTTTTGGGTTTGGGATGAGAGTGCTGTTGACAGTCCACTCATGGGTTTGGGTTTTTTTAAGCACTCAAGGCCTTTTCTGCTCCTCACACTGCCCTGCCAGCAAGTAGGTTGGAAAGGCACAAGAAGTTGGAGGAGACACGGCCGGGACAGCTGACCCCAAGTGACCAAAAGCAATAGTCCATGCCACGTGATGTCATGCTCAGTATAAATCTGGAGGAAGGAGGAGGAACATTTGGAGTTATGGCATTTGTCCTCCCAAGTAACCATCACGTGTGATGGAGCCCTGCTTTCCTGGAGATGGCTGAAGATCTGCCTGCCCATGGAAAGTGATCAAAGATCTCCGTGTTTTGCTTTGCTTGCGTGTGCAGTCTTTGTGTCAACCCATGAGTTTTTTCTCACTTTTACTCTTCCAACTCTCTCCCCCATCTCGCTGTGGGGGCACTGAATGAGCACCTGTGTGGTCCTAGTTGCTGGTCTCTGACAGGAAGAAAAATGTCTTTTTTTTTGGGTCCAAATAACCCTCTCTGCGCTCACCCATTAATAGAGCCAGACCCTCCTCTCCCTTCCCCACTCCTGCACCTTCCCGAGATGTAAACATCAAGGATTGATTTCAGCTGCCTGCTCCCTGCAAAAACAAGCTTCCAGGCCCATTATACCCTTCTTATCTGCTCCCAAGGAAAGTGGGGAGAGATAACCCAGAGTCGACAGCGTGGGGTCGTTGGCTGAAAGGGGCTCTGGCTGCTCACACTAAATCACACCCAAAAAACCCACGTGTACAACCTCAGCTCAGCCAGGGCAACACTTTCCCCCAGTTTTTGCAGAGCACGGTGCCTTCCACTTGTGTTTTTTTTTTTTTACAGACAGGATTCTTCAGGGGCATTTCCCTGACCTGGCAAAAAGAAGCTATGCTGTTTTTCCTTTAAGATGCTGATCTTTTAGTGTCTCCTCCCCCGACTCCCTTTCCTGGGATTTCCCAAGACCAATGAATTTTTGTTTTTAGATTAAACAATCAAAGCAAAACCACAGCAGGTCCAAAGATCTCTGCAGCCACTTCCATTTTCACATCCTTTGGCATTTCTGCTATTCCCCATACGGTATCAGGACAGTAACCACTCATTTTCCCCATAAACCAGTATTTAATCACTAATTTAGTCCTCCACGCATCACACCACCTCCAGGACACAGAGGTGCATCACTGCTGTCGCTACAATTTTCATCCAATCTGAATTAAAGAAGAGTTTTATCTTCTTGCTCCCAGCTGGCAACAATATTTATATACTTTTAATATTTATATTATATTTGTATTTATATACAAGACTTTTTTTTTTAAATGTTTTATGTTACCAATAGGTGATTTGCAACCCAGCCATGCCAGGGGAACGTTTGCACACATACACGATATATTTCTGAATACAATAGTCAGCAGCAGAAAGGAGCTATCAGCTTCCAAAGCCCAATTTTGCTTTGCAGGATTTTACAGTGTGCCAAGTTTTTCTAGGATCTGTCACCAGGTCATGGTTTTAAAGCCTGATGTCGATTGGAAGCCCTTCAATTTGCCCTCTTCAAGTGCTGCAGGTGGCAATTAAGAGCACAGCACCTCTCAGAAAGGTAATTTAGGGGAGAACTTCATCAACCCCATATGAGCACGCAGAGCCTACGTGTCTCCACGAGCCTCCTCGCTGAAGTTATCAGCTGTTTGCTTAGCAAACACCAAACAAAGATTTCTGCTCGGGGTTTTTTGTTTTTTTTTATTGTAATTTCTTTTACAGAAATTGGTTTATTGGCGACACCTTTATCTCCCCGATTGCTCTGCTCAGCCCCGGTATTTGAAGAAGAAAAGCAAAAGGTTTCCTGCTGCCTCTGCCCGTTTATTTATCCAGCAAACAAACCCTCTCAACACCCCTGAGCAAACACCACGTGCATATTCTTTTTTTTCCAACACACCATTCACGGTAACCTCACCAGGAAAGGAGACCAATACTCTGAACAGAAGAGTTCAGGAGATTTTTATTTTTTTTTAAAGTACTGAGAGTTGGGGTATTATTTTTTTATTATTATTATTTTTTTGTTTGTTTCCAGAGGCAAAGAAACCAGCAAGTTCAGCTGCAAATTCTGCTCCAGGCTGGGCAACCTAAAGCTTTTCTCCATTTGCATTTAGCACCGGTAAAGAATAATGCAAAGGAAGTTTCTCTGTGCAACTCAAGCCTATAATTTTTAAGCAATAATCTTTAGACTTACAACATAATCCCCCCCCCTCCTTCAGCCTTTAATGTCAGGCACAAGCTTGATTTATCTCTTCTGCCCTCCCCAAATTTCCCATGTTTCATAAGCTCCCAGCACCCAGAAACCCACGTTATTACTCAGCTGCAAAGTGGACTTGTGGGAGGGAGGCAAAGTGGCTGCTACCAGAGGACATTCAAACTGCTGATCCAGCAAAAAAGAGGAAAAAAAAAAAGAGCCCCCATCAGTGCATTTCCCCGGCCAAGTAATTAAGATGTGTTTTGCATCATATTTTTTGCTCACTCCCCTGCACCCGCCTCAAAGCCCCACTGTTTGCACCAAAACCCAGGCCAGGCATGTTTTTCTGCTGAGCCAGCACATTTTCCCTTATTTTTTTTTATCATAAAGGGATTTCAGGGCTTTTTTTTTTTTTAATTAGACGAGGCATGGTTGAAGCAGTGGGGCTTCAGCTGAAGTATGGGGGCTGTAACATCACCTCCCCCAGGAAGCTCCACTGGTCTCAACCACCAGTAAAATATCATTTTTTTCTTATACTTTAGTGAAGCAATTATCATTCCCTTCTTCCAGGTGCACACGCCACAGATGTTAAATCATTCCAGTTCAGAATTGAAAAGTCCATTTTATTTTGTTAGGGGGGGAAAGAAATAAATCAATGAACTGGAAAAATAACCCCCCCTGCAAAAAAGCTACTTTAAGGCAGCCTTATGATATTTTCTTGTCCTAAGACACCTGCCCACCCTGCACACGTGCTCCAATATCCTACAGGGATGTGAGACACACGCAACAGCTACTAAAAAGGTCATTCTCAGGTTAAAAAAAGATGAAATAGCTGCAGAACAAATCATGCACTTGCATCATGAACACTCTACAAGGGAAGGCAGTTCTGCACCAGCTCTACTTGTGCTGGACAACCTGAAAACCATACAAAGGCACCAAACTTTTGCACCATCCCATAAATGCATCCTCCCAACGGGGTGAAGAACCACCAAACTGTGCCATTCTGCAAAAACAGACCTGAATTCTCAGCTTCTGCTCCGGTGGAAGCCTTTGGGGATGGGGATTTTTGGCACTAAAGCTGGATTTGACCCACTTGCTGGGGTTCTCAGGCAGGAGCTTTGCAGTCCAAACTCAATCCCAGTTCAATGTTTATTCCCATTATTCCATCTGCTCACACCTTGCTTTGCACCAGGCTTTTCCAGGACATTAAAATTTTAATTTTTCATTAAAATGCCTAGCATTGTACCCAACGGAGGGCAGGCATTTCTACGATGAAGGCTATAAGGTCAAGGGCAGACTGAGCAAACCCCAACTCTAGCCACAGCAGTGCCAGTATCAAGACCCTATTTCCACCCCCACCCAAATCCCTGGGCCAGAGGATGCTCCAGGGAGCAGGACTCACCTGAAGAGGTTTTCTGCCCCCGCTCTCATCCTCATCTCCTTGTTGATCTGCTGGTTAATCCGCGCCCGGCGATGCTGCAGTTTGCTGCGCTGGGTCTGGGCGAAGGGGTCGCAGCCCTGCTGAGAGAGAGGGGCAGGGGCCTCACCAAAAAAACTCCACCATTTTGGGATTAAAAGGGGCACTTTCTGAGCCCGGCATTACACTTGAAATACAAGTTTATTTTATTTAATAAAGGGATTAAAAGGGGCACTTTCTGAGCCCGGCGCTGCACTTGAAATACAAGTTTATTTTATTCCATAAACCATTATCATAGAATGGTTTGGGTTGGAAGGGACCCTAAAGATCATCGAGTCCGACCCCCTGCCCTGGGCAGGGACATCTCCCACCAGAGCAGGTCCCTCAAAGCCCCATCTAACTTGGCTTTGAACCCCTCCAGGGATGGAGCAGCCACAGCTTCTCTGGGCAACCTGGGCCAAGGTCTCACCACCCTCACAGCAAAGAATTTCCTCCCCACATCTCATCTCAATCTCCCCTCTTTCAGCATCAAACCCTTCCCCCTCCTCCTATGGCTCCCCTCCCTGATCCAGAGTCCCTCCCCATCTCTCCTGGAGCCCCTTGAGGGACTAGAAGGGGCTCCAAGGTCTCCCCAGACCCTTCTCTTCTCCAGGCTGAACTTCCCCAACTCTGCCAGCCTGTCCTCCCAGCAGAGGGGCACCAGCCCTCCCAGCATCTCCACGGCCTCCTCTGGCCCTGCTCCAACAGGTCCATGTCCTTCTGATGGTGGAGACCCCCCGAGTTGGATGCAATGCTCCAGGAGGGGTGTCCCCAGAACAGAGTGGAAGGGTAGAATCCCCCCTCTTGTCCTGCTGCCCACGCTGCTGGAGGTGCAGCTCAGGATGTGGTTGGCTTTCTGGGCTCATATTTAGAAAAGGCTTCCCAAATGCAAGAGGGTAAACAGGAATTAGCCATCTCCTCTCCAGGGCCTCACCATCCAGACACAAGACAAGCCCCAGGGGGGCTGCAGATGAGCTCAATATGACCCTCGAGCTCAGGAACAGATGTGACCTACCCCCTGTGTCTATAAGTCTATAGGGGATGGAGTGCAGGCAGCAAGTCAAGAGTTCATGGGGTGGGGGAGAAATGAGTTGCACAAAGCAGTAAATTAATTCCATCCCTGCCTCCTTCCCTTGGCTTCATCTCAGACTTTCTACTGACAGGGTAAACATGTTCAATCTCTGACTTCAGGAAGTAACAGAGGGCAATATCCCCCCCGTCTCGTGGGGGCAAGAGGTTGTTATAGGATGCCCCAGGCAGAGAGGTTGCCACGAGGAAGGGCTCGGAACCCAGGGCCACAAAAGCTCTGCCCAAGCAGAGATGATTTCCATTGTGTGAGGAGAGGTTCAGATGGATGAAATGAGTCTCTAAAAGATCCCTGGGCTAAAAAAAAAAACAAAACACAACACTTTTAGGAGGACACAAGGCTGGGCAGTTTACGAGAATGGAGACCTTCAAGCCTGCTTTTCATACACCAGTGCAAAGCACAGGCAGATCCCTCCAAGAGCATACCAAGATCCACTGTAGTACCAAAAGAAATTCCTCAAAGCCACTATTACACCCTCTTGTTTCCCTTAGAACTCCTATATTTGATCTGCAGATCAATCTTACCCTGCTCCCCACTGCTTTATCTCCATCACTACTTCCAAGATGGTGTATCACCTGCCTCCACCATCAAGAAAGGGTTTTGCCACCCGAGAGACTTTACAGAGCTCCAACAGTGCCCACTCTTGTCCTGTCCAAAACAACTTCTCAGCTAATTTCTATATATATTCTATAATTTCTTCCATGTAGGGGTCTTGGTGGGCTTCACCAAGTCTCACCTCATCCTCCAGGTGGATGGTTCTGGAGTCCCAACAGTCCCAAATCCAACAAGCCAGGGCAATGCCTGGTTACCTCTCCAGAAAACACTGTAGATCCCAGTGTTACTCTGGTAAAACATACTTCTAGCAAATGATTTGATTTTTCTGGGGAAGCAGGAAAGGAAAAAAAAAAGAAGTCCTCGCCCAAAAAAGTATGAGGCCAGCTTTGATTAGTCAGTAGAGAAAGGAAAAATCTGTGTTTTCATGGAGTTCAGCTTTCTGAAAACTATTTTCTCATATTTGAGATCCACTAAGTGGTGTCCCCTTTGATAAAGGGTCCGGGATTAGCATTAGCATTTTCATTTAAGTGAAAGACTTGAGCTCCTAATTGGAACATTGGAGACTGAGGAATCAGGCACTCCATCTGGTCCATAAATCTACAGGCTTACTGCTTTATAGTAATCCATGAATTTGTTGAAATTAGTGAAGGAATAAGCTGAAGGCAAGAGGCCCCAATTATTCTGGAAAAGCAATTAAGTGGGATATTAAGGAAAACACCCCAACAGCTGCACAAATCTTGGGTCAGTAGCAAATCCAGGAAACGCTGATCCCAAAGTGCCCTGGGGAACCCAACCATCTTTGGCTTCCCAGGGAAAATGTAGAAATTGGAAGAAAAAGGAAAAGGAGGAGTAATTCCACATCATGGAGACCAAGAAGGGACCATAAAGGTTTTCTCCAGCAAGAAGGAGCTGGGTCATTGCTGAACATGGCCCCTGGAAAAACCAACCAACCAAACAACCCAACAATGCAGGCTCAAATCTGAACACCCAGAGGCTCTCAAAGCAATGAAGACACCACTAAACTCTTGTCTAGAAAGTAGCTGCTCATGCAGATGTAGTCCAAGATATCACACAAGTATTTCCTTTATTAATTAAAGGCTGGTTACAAACATTGTGTCTTCGATGAGGTTTCTTCATACAGTGCAAGACATTAACCTATATATGGAAGTTAAAGCTTAAGGTGGGGGGAAAAGGAGCCATAAAGGGAAGCTGGTGCTTATTAAAATTTTAACAGCCCTTCAGGTTTGCAGATGAGAGCTGGGTGTGCTTGTCAGCTCCACAGACACACAAGCCAAAAGTGTATGCAAATTTATCCAAATACATGCAAGTGAGCAGGATCCAGCCCCCCCTCCTCTGCCTCCAGAGCCATAAAAATCCATCCAAAACTCAACAGCCCTGGTAGCAACTGCTGGAGGTGGAAAGTACCTCTTCTCTGCCTCCAGCTCTTCTACAGGAGCTTTCTTCATCTTTGAGACCTCTCTGCTTCTTGCAAAGGTTTGCTTGAAAGTGGTCAGAGGATTTTAAGATATTTTTTTTTGAGGGGTAAGAACAGCAAAGACTACCTGAATACATGGGCAGGAAGCCAGAGGACCTGTAGGTAAGAGATGATGGAAGAGGCACATGTACAAGGATTATCCAAAACCACAGAGCAGGTCCATGAACACCTCCTTGACTGGAAGCAGAGCAAGAAGAAACCAAGTAAGAAAAGCAGCAAGATGCAGAGCAGGATGAAAAGACATTAGGATGGCTCCATAAGATCTTCAAAAACAGGGTTAAAACCTCTTCACTGCAAAAGCAATTAAGGAGTTCAGCTAATTGACTTGGCACTCCACTTCTCCCAGGCCCAGCTTGTGATGACATCAAGAGGCAAAATTTGAGCAGCTGCAGTGACAAACCTGATGATGGAGACCCCTCTCAAGCAGGCACTGATAATCATTAATCACTTTGACTTTCCACAAGGGCACAAAGGAGCTGCCCTCCAGGAACACTTACAAGCCCTGGTGAAGCTGGGGACCAAATATATTGGAATAACATCCAGGACATCACAGCATTTGGATTGGCTTAGAGTAGGAGAGGGAGTTTCTGAGCTCCTCCCACTGGGATCCAGTGACAGGACTCATGGATGGTTCAAATGGTTCAAAGCTGCACCAGGGGAGGTTTAGACTCTTCACCAAGAGGGTGGTCAAAGACTGCAACAGGATTCCTAAAAAGGTGGTTGATGCCCCAATCCTATCAGTGTTTAACATGCATTTGGAAAATGCCCTTAATAACAGGCTGGCTTTAATTTTTGGTCAGCCCTGACGTGGTCAGGAAGTTGGACCAGATGATCATTGTAGGTCCCTTCCAACTGAAATAGTCTATTCTGTTCTATTCTCCCTCCAGGAGACACTTGGCCATTTGTAGATCTGCAAGGTGGTTTCCTCCCTCTCCGTCTGAACACTGGGTATCTTTTCAATCTGATCTAATGAGATGGTCATCAATTCCCATCCAGGCTCCTAAACCAACAGCAAAAAAAAAAAAGTACTGGAAAGTCAGATATTGGGGCACCTGACGTAACTCCAAAGCCTTGTGAAGGTCTCAAGTCAGGATCTTGAGACTTGCTGCCCTTAAGGACTTCATGTGATCTCCCTGCACCTTGCTTTCCTTTATAAAGTTGGGTGGCTGCAGTAACCCATGGAATTGCAACACATCTTGCCTCCAGAGGATCTGCCATTGGCCCCAAAACATCATAATTGAGGCCAATATAAGCCTCATGCCAAGGCCACTGTTGGGAATAACCAAGCCTAGTCTGCAGCAGCAAAAAAAAAAAGTACTGGAAAGTCAGATATTGGGGCACCTGACGTAACTCCAAAGCCTTGTGAAGGTCTCAAGTCAGGATCTTGAGACTTGCTGCCCTTAAGGACTTCATGTGATCTCCCTGCACCTTGCTTTCCTTTATAAAGTTGGGTGGCTGCAGTAACCCATGGAATTGCAACACATCTTGCCTCCAGAGGATCTGCCATTGGCCCCAAAACATCATAATTGAGGCCAATATAAGCCTCATGCCAAGGCCACTGTTGGGAATTACCAAGCTGAGTCCGCAGCGGCTCCTGGAGCATTGCAGATACAACATAATTTCACAAATTTTGGAGCTCCAGAGTAAGATGCTTAACTTACATATGTAAGGGAACACCACCACCAGCCAGAAAGGCCATATTTAAATCAAATGGAAAATAGGGGAGATAGAGAGGCCATTGGCCCCAAAACATCATAATTGAGGCCAATATAAGCCTCATGCCAAGGCCACTGTTGGGAATAACCAAGCCTAGTCTGCAGCAGCTCCTGGAGCATTGCAGATACAACATAATTTCACAAATTTTGGAGCAAGAAGGAAATTCAGCTCCAGAGTATGAAAGGGAACACCACCACAAGCCAGAAAGGCTG